CAAACATATTCTTAAAATTGCATAACAAAATAAAGGGGCAAATTCGTCAAAATTTGGCCTACAGACTAAGGGATAACGAAAGTCTTAATGCACAGCTTTCTATGGTAATAATGCTCAAGTTCTAATGTTTTCAGCTATTTTAGTCAATTATAGTTATTAAAATATAAATATTTCTTTGTATCGTATTAGTCATTACCGTAACAATAAAATTCTTTGATCATCTTCTCACAATCAAATTATAACACAAAGTATCGAAGAAATCTTTGAAGATGATGTATTAAACATAGGCCCTATTCATTTCATGTTCCTGTTTCTGTTCCGATTTTTTTCACTTTCCAAATTTGGGTTGAATATCTAATTTAGGTAATGAAAAGTGGGAACAAAATGGGCACAACATCAGACTTGTGTCCATTTCGTTCCTCATCAAAAAAGAAAACGAATGTGAACACAAAATTTGCATGACGAAAAGAAAAAATTTTAATTAACCTCCTTTTCAGATTTGCCGTGCCTCGTGATCTCGCACCTAGCCTAATTATTTGCTTGGTGCATCTTCCTATTCCATTTTTGTTAATTAGACTAACTTGGATTTCAAAATTATGGTTAATTTCTTGCTGATCACCTTCTCGCAATTTTATATATATAGTTATAGGTATATATATCTTACCGAGATCTAGGTCTCGATCTCTATCTCTTTCTCGATCTAGATCTAGGCCTATATCTAGACCTATATCTTGGCCTCTCCTTAGGCATATTCCCCCACCCACCTCCCTCCGTTGTCCGACTCTTTATATACTCAGATGAAGTTAGAATAATCACTCATGTCGAGAAAAATACCAAAATATAATAAACGTAATAACGAGTATATTCATCAATGAACTTAATATCAATACCGTTTTTTATAATTTACGTTCTAAAGTGAACCAAGTAGTTTATTTTAATGTTCACTTCAAGTTTCGTTGTCATAGACGATATCCACCTCAGCGAACAAAATTTTTTTTTTGCGAAGAGCTGATCGTTGTTTGAAGATCACCGCCAAAAATAGAAGTATCAAATAAGGGGGGGTTACATCACCGAAATTGGGGAATTGTTGATTTTGCACATGAATCAATCTCTTGCCTGACGTAATAAATCAAAGGCATACCCACGACGTATTTGCAAAAAAGTATAGACAATACCTCGAATTTGATTTAACTAATAAATTGCGTTGTTATGAATGCATAGATAACGACTTATTACGAAAAATCCACAGTTTTTACGTGATACAAACAAATTTGTTGTTAACCTTTTTGGTCGTATAGCGGACGATAAATATTTCTTTAACAATTATTAATTAATTAATAATACTCTGACCCAACTTCTTTCAATGTACTATATTATTTCAAAAATCAAATTCAAGAAAACGGCAATGATATAATAAACTATGACACTCATCCAACACATAACGGTCAACTTTTTCTAATTTACCTTTTTCAAATTCCTAATTCGCAAAGAAGATTGGGTTTTCTTTATATCAAGCAATTATTAATGATAATTAGATATATTATAAATAATACGATAAATTTATAATCCATTTTTAATTAATTACAAACCATAAATTAAATCATGATAATGCCGCACCTTTTATTGCTATATAGCAAAGAGTCTCCGTATCGTTTACTTATAATATATCATTCGTTTATTATAAAATATCAAATAATTAGTTTATCGTATTTGTAATTAACTGCATCTCTCAAAGCGATATAAAATCTTCGTTTCTTTACCATTTCTCACAGTATTGATTCGCACCTCTTTACCTTACAATAACACCACACATCTAATATCATCGTTTAACTACAATGTCATTTCAATCGTTCCAAATTATTGATGACCTCTCAGTGGGTGAATTGATGGATTATGAAGATTGCTTAGATCTCTTTCCGGATTTTCTTCCTGAAACAACATCTCAACCCTCTGTTACTACGATTTCGAGATTGACACCTCAATTTGCACCGGCTGCTACTACCACTACATATTGGCGCCCGAAAGATATTCTCGTAAAGGTTTTACATAAACTACATTACGATGCCTACACACAATTCCCTTGTGCACCGTGTTGCTACTGTGGACGAGCGCTCTACCCATATCAGATTAATTGGATATTGAAAGAGAATAATGTCATATTTCCACTCCAAATATCATATCCAAATGTTACGTTAATTTACCATCCACATAATTCAAACAAAGTAGCTGCTTGTGCGTCATGTAAAAAGCCTTCATCCCGCCGGCTGTGTCCTATTCTAGCACCTATTCCTCCATGCATAGAAATAGTACCATATGGAAAGCGCAAATATTTATCTCCCGTTTATCTTCACTCAAGTCTTGGCCGCACCGTTGATGCAAACGCCTTTTCAGAATACCGTTCATTACAAGGCCAAATGGGCTACTCAAAAAACATCCGTTCTTTAACATTGTATTCTGGAATGCTTGGTGCCTTTCTCGAACAAACTGATTTACCTACTTCTGACACACAATGGTACCATCCTTCCCTAAAAGAAGCATGTGAGTGGTTGCAAATTCACAACCCTTATCTTAAAGCTTACAGTTCAGTAGCCGAACAACTACTATCGCAAACTAATACGTCTGTGTCCAATGTCAATGCTTGGCCCTGGGCCACACACGTGCAGACTGATACAAATATACCTCCGCTACATAGAGGCGATGTAGTTGTTCCACCATATGACTTTCCAGATGACGTACACAATGAGGACGCACACTACACTCGTCTAGCGATTGGGTTTTTAACAGATACAGATAACAAAAAAATACCAATTGCTTTTCACGATCCCGAATTAGAACCATTGTTATTTCCAGACTTATTTCCGGATGGCCAAGGTTATTACAAACATCGGAAACAGACATCTGAAACATCAGAAAATTTTGATCAAACTTATGGAAAATACATAAAATCGCGTCTCATTGGTTACGATTCACGATTTCGTTTACACCCAACATGGCCTGTTTGGTCGTATTTGCAACTGGAAAAATTTCGCAATTTTCAAAATAATTGCCGTTTATTTCGCCAAAAGAATATTGATAAAGTCTCCCAACCTCCAACGGCTGCTCAACTTTTGCGGGAAAGTGCATACACAACAAATCTAATAATAGACGAAAACATAACGACCCCATTACCAACGTTTATAAGAACAGGCGACACATACTATCACCAAAAAGAACATCACCTAAACACCATGGTAACTGAACTTGGATTACCAACATTATTTATTACTCTATCGATGGCTGAAGGAAAATGGGATCATCTACGAGCAATTCTTTCCGCAACAGATAACGGTGATACCTTACCAACCAATCGTCCATATCATGTGACTTGTCATTTTCTCCATCGCCTACGCTCTATGAAAAATGCCATCTGGAAAAACGAAAAATTATCTGAATGGGGCACAATACAAGACTATTTTCAACGAGTTGAATTTCAAAATCGTGGTGCTGCCCATACGCATACTTGTCTTTGGACAACTTATTTCATAGAACAAATGATCCATAACAATGTCATTCGATCTGACATGCCAGATCCAAATTACGAACCCGAACTCTTTAAACATGTCCAGGCACATCAAATACATACTTGTGATTATCGTTGTGGTGGACCAGCACCCGAAGGGCAGCAATGTTCGAAAGGTTTTCCAAGACAATATTCAGATACCACATATACAGATAATGAATCTCTCCGCTTTATTTACAAATGTACAAAAGAGGAAGATCAGTATGTAGTACCATACCACCCACCAACCCTAATTGCATGGAACGCACATATGAACGCACAATATATTACGTCAAAAGGATTTGCACGATATATGACCAAATATATCGCAAAAGTTGAACCGTCACACATTTTTAATATAGTCGATGGCGATCGTTACCGTCAACACGTAATTGGACGTCGATTAGGTTGTATGGAAGTGATGTTTCTTACCCTCGGAGAAAAAATATGTGATTCCTCAGCCACTGTTCAATATTTGACGACAGAACCACCAAATTCTAGAGCAAAAACTGTTCGTTCCGCAGGAGAAATGCTTATACATCCAAACGATCCCTATTACAAAGATTCAATCGAAAAATATTTCCAAAGACCTGTTACACCAGAATTCGATACCCTTACTTACGAACAATATTATCAGCATTATGAACTCAAACAACCTGGAACAAGATCAGACAGATACGCTGGTATTGATGCTGAGGGTAGAACAGTTGTAAGACGTACCAAAAAAATATTAACTCGTACCCGTGCATTACGAATATCTGATGGAGAAGCTTATTTTTACCGACTACTACTAAAACCATAATCATGGCGCTCTGAAGATGATATTAAAGGCGGCTACTCCTCATATCGCGAACCCTATTTCCTGATCAAGCCTTACAAACACACCAAAACATCACAACTTTTATTACCAAAAGAAAAATAGACCTGACAAACCAATTTATAACAGTTCTCGAAACCATGCTCCAATCGTTATATGAGCTTTCACGAGAAAACTATGAAAACATTCGTTCTCAGCTAATAGACATAATGAAAATCCCACCGATACTTCCCAGAATTCTTACTGCTGAGTTACCTTCGGACCAATACAAAGTGATGAACACCCTCACTCAATTTATGGGCTCTACTACAAACAAAAAATATCCCTATTTTTTTGTAACTGGAGCAGCTGGAACTGGAAAATCATACATTATTCATTTATTAACAAACTACCTAACACAAAAAAAGAGACAATTTTTACTAATGGCTCCAACCGGAGTTGCTGCCCAAAATATCAATGGTAAAACTATTCATTCTGAACTGCGTATAATATCAACAAAAAGCGGCTACAAAACCCTCATATTTACTGATCACGCTTTAACTGACCGCCTCCGTCAAATCGACACAATAATAATTGACGAAGTTTCTATGGTTTCAGCTCCATTACTTTCATTTATCTCTGACACATTTGCAAAACTTAACAACAATCACCATCCCTTTGGAGGTATCAATGTAGTATTAATTGGTGACTTAGCACAATTACCACCTGTCAACGCACCAAATGTATTTTATTCTCCTGTGTGGAGAATTTTTCATCCATTATTTCTTACTAAGTCTCAACGTCAGATATCTGACCCCATATTTTTCAAGTTACTGCAAGAAATACGGACAGGAAACATATCTAATGACTCTTGGACCATACTCGAACAAAAACACATACAATCACTGAATGAACGCCTTACTCCATCCGCTTTTAATACTACGCATATTGTTGGATACCGCCAATCAGCTGATCGCATTAACATTTCCGTATGCAATATGCTACCAATAGAAAAAAACCAATATCTTTTTCACCAAGCTGATGATTACGTCAACAACGAAATGTGGTTAGACAATACAGCACAACCACTTTTTAAATCTCACACTAATTTCCCTGCATCAGTACGATTACAACCAGGTGCCCGTGTCATGTATCTTAGTAACGACAAGTACAGCGAAGGCATATGCAATGGAACAATCGGCATTGTTACTGAAGTTGATTGCAATTCAAAAAGAGTACAAATAGCATTCAGTGTCACAAGTAAAATAATTAATGCTGAAGTCAGTCCGAAAACTATAAACTTTTATGCAAATGGAAAACCTTCATCCCGGACACAATTTCCTTTACAAAACTGCTTCGCATTAACTGTCCACAAAGCCCAAGGATTGACTCTACAAAAAATTTCCGTATTCTTAGACAATCAATTTTTTGCACCAGGACAAGCTTACGTTGCATTAAGCCGAGCAACATCATGGGAAAATGTTAGTATTCCTATGTTAGACAGAAAAGCTTTTTGTGTCGACCCATCCATTAATGAAGAATATTCCCGTCTTATCCAACAAGCAAACACCATTTCCTTTTAATATTAATACTTTATTTTATTTTATTCATTTACCCATTTATTTATCCATTTATTAATCAATCAATTTATTTATTTACTTATTATTTATTTACTTATTTATTTATATCCTTACCAACTAACAAATTAAAAAAGGTCTTATTTACCAAAAGCGGCATGCAAACATATGATTGTTTCACCATATTAACGCCCGATCATGAGAAATAACATTCCCATACACTTAACTTTTTTTTTTAGAAATATAAATTTTTCCCACTCAAAAAGTTTATAAAAAATTACTCCTCCCCAACCAATTACTAAAAAATGTTCATCCATATTCATTCGTCGGCAGCGCTTATCAATAACTCGAAAAAAATTAACCGGGGCGAACACGACCTTCAACTAATAGACGCCCAAATCATAAACCTCGATGATCAATACATTCACTTATCAATAACCTCATGGCTACCGAAAAACATTGAAACAAACGCTCATATAAACACAGTAACAAAAAACGATGTCATCGATCTCGACGGAACCATAACCGAAATAAAAAATAACAAACTCTCCATAACCGCATACCGACTTGAAATAAATAATTACGATCATCTAAACCTCCCTCCAAACAAGTCATGTATCCTCGCCGCCGGAATCGTTGAAACAACACCACAACAACAAGAAGATCAAATAGTCTTCAGAATATCTGCGGCACAACATAAAGGCGACAGGACCGCCACCAACCCATTTAACGAATGCAGTATTTTCTGCACGCACGACGCCTCCCAGGCGCATCTACGAGCACGTACAACAAAACTACAACCACGCAGTAAAGTGTGGATTACGGGAGATTTTGGTGTAGACGAAGATCAACTATATGTCCAATTGGACAATATGGAGTATATGTACGGACAGCCAACAAATCAAACAAAAACGTCATCCACCCCACCCACCACAAGATCTGAAAAACTTAAACACCTCATCTCACTCTCCGCCCTCTCCTCATCATCCGTAACTCAACCAGCAACAACAGCAGCAACAAACACAACCACTACAACAACAGCATCAACGACAAACAAAAAAAGAAAACTGAACAATACATCTGCGACGACGTCATCAACGTCTATAAACCAAATCGTAGTCGAAACGAGTAACGAAAAAACCAAATCCAAAAATAAAAAAATTAACGATATTGCAACTGACATGCTGGATATACCGAATCTTGAACTATAAAAAAAATACTTTTTATTCTATTTTTTTTTTCTTTTTTACTTTTTCCTTTCTTATTAACTCGATTTACCGAAATCAGTTAGTTATATTTAGCTCAGGGTTAGATTTTTCCCCTTAGTTCTTTGTCTAACTTCTATTCGAACGATGTCGTCATCGTCGTCGTCAACATCAGAGACTGTTCATAATCTTCCTTAG